GTACAAGGCAAAACCTATTACATCCCGATCTCGAATACACTCGGCAATCTGAACCTGATGAAACTGAAGGACAGTCAATATTATACCAGCAATTTAGTGGAGGCACACCTGAAAATTAAGTGACAGAGTAAGGGAAATACAACAGATTAAGTCAAGTACGCCGACGGAGGAAATGATCAGATATTAACACTTAATCCACACTAAGAAACCGGTGTCACACAGTATTCTTCATTCACTATGCAACGCACTCGCGAACGAGACAAGTCGCACAACGCACGTTCCAGGCGCACTCTTCATAGAATTAATTGGTGTATACGGGTATTGGTACACATCCACAGCAGGACATTGTTAACACAATCACCAACAGATATTGTCAATCAAATATGATTCCAGATTTGCCAAATAAATCTGGAAATGTCTACCTTTTTCAGCATTGCACTTTTGGTGGGGCAACTAAATAGGTAAGTTTGAGGTTANCTAAATAGGTAAGTTTGAGGTTAAACAAAAATAACGAGTAACTGCGATGGCACACCGTCGCACGATCCTATCCCTCATAGAAACGGTTGGAACGCGTTGGGCGCATCACAAGAGGTTACCTCGCCGAGGCACAGTAAAGCTGAAAGTGCAAATACGGAAAGACTACGGCCTGTATAAAATCCGATTGGTGGACTGGGTCTCGTCGGTCGTACTAGGCTGGGGACCTCAAGATTAGCCTAAGCAATGATAATAGAGATCGGAGAATGACTGGAAGTAGTGGAAATAGTTACCGTACGTTTACATACTTCTGGCAATAAATGCATTGTCTCACACAAAGATAACCGAGAAAATTCACTCGTCTTGACCTGGACAATCTGGCCCACAAACAAATCACGGGACTTTCCCTTTTTGAAAGGATTATAGTAATACGTTTTCATTGGCACAGTCCGGCTTCAGACGCGTGTGAAATACACATGTAAGACCAGCAAAGTAAGTAAGTAAGTAAGTAAGCAATAAAAGTATTTTATTCTTTTCACCACCAGTAGGTGATCTCAAGTCAGTGGCAAAACAAGAATATGGACGTATTATTACTTCACTTCAACACGTAACCAGTTGAACAGAACTGGCAAATTTGCCACAACATATGGAGAGAAAAATCTGTAGAATGAGTTCACAGGTTGTGTGGGCATGTTCATCATCATCATTATCATCATGATACAGCGAGATACACTGAAGCGAACTTCACTGATCGCTGCCAAGCTCACAAATCCAGTGATAAAGCACAAGATAGACAAGGATTAGGCCTAATTGGAGCGAGGCAAAGAAAATGAACCATGGTCAACACAATGCACAAACTGCGCGCACATACCTTCTCCAGCACTCTGACCTGAAAAGAAATGACAACAATAAAGCCACTGCTGTCGGTTCGCTGCCATATCCTGCAGTATCTCCAACCGACCACTTGCAGTCTTTGAGACCCCAACCTGGAAGACGGGAGACACCTATTCTACCTAATCGCTCTTTACGTTTCTTCATGCCTCGTTTCCACGTCAACAGTTGACCTCCACGCGGCTTCTTCCAACCTGAAATCGCAACCGGGGATAAGGCTCGCTGCGGTGGACGATGTCTGCGCATAAGCAATACGTGTCCTAACCAGCGAAGCCGACTAATCTGAATTCGATGGGTCAACGAATTCCCCGTCGAATCGACGCTTGCTCCATCCAAACTAGATGAACATCTGCAGTCGAATACTTCAAGATGATGAATATCTTCTACGCGCAAATCTAGGGTCTCGCAACCATAGAGCAGAACTGATTGCACACTGGCGGAGTATACGCGACTTTTCAGTTTCAACGAAACATCGCACCTGCTCCAAAGGTGTTCCAATTCTGCGTAAGCTGCTCGAGCTTTGGAAATGCGGGCGGTTACTTCATAACTATGCTACCGTCGTTTGTCACGCAGCTACCCAAGTAGAAGAAACATGCCAATATAAATAATTCTTGACCGTCAAGCATCAGCAATGGGGTAGACGATACTCAATCTTGTAGCAACACTGCACTTTGAAAGTGTAAAGCGCATACCANCTGTCAAGAGGGCTTTGCGCGTCTTCCATACATTTGAACAGGCAAACGATGTCACCAGTGTACCTTAAATGGCACAGCTTTACTCCAGCTGCCCATTCAATACCAACACTTGGGCGGCCACTATGTGCGCTGTCTTGTATTTCGTCTACGACGAATGTTACTTCCCAGGTGCCTTGACTGAGAAAGGGAAATAACCTCCGGGCCCCCATCCGAAGCATTTGGACCAGAAAACCAGACCTGCAAGACAACAGGACGGGGCTCGGAGTCCGCAGTCCATTTGAGGCCGGTGTCCAGTTCATTGGATCATACGCCCCTTTGGACGGGGTCAAACGTCCAAGGTGCCCAGCCTCCAAAAGCCTCAGTATGGTTGAGGGTGGTTGTCATTGGTTGCGGCTGGCCACCCTTCCCTTGCACCTCGCGACATGCTCCTATA